CAGGAATTTCAACGTGTACGTTTATTGCGAAGACTTTCCACGGATATTCTATGTTCTTCGTGAACGCTCGGTTTTATCTTTGCCACGTCCCCACAAGTATTGCTAATCAAAGTATCGTCTCCTTACTTTCATATTTGTAATCGTAATTTTATATCACATAATTAGAAAATTAAAATTTTACATATAATTTCTGTTCAGAATAATTCTCATTACAAAATCTTAATCGAAAACATCTTGTTTTTATTACTTTACTATATTATTTTTATTGCAAAATTTTTTATCCAAAAATATTTCCGAATCAAATTACGTTTTTCAAATATAATTGATTCGATATTTAAATTAAATATCCAGAAAAAGATATTCTTATACAAAATAAATATAATAAGTAACCGCATTAAAAAAAAAAAGCATTTATTGAATAAAGTTATTTAGTTAAAAAATTTATAATAATAACTCTAGTTTTATATTAGAAAAATTTTCTTCTCACCAATTTCTGTAATTCAAAATAGAACAACTGCGTCTAGGTAGTCTAAGTTTTCTGTTTTCCTTGATGCAAACGTCATTCGTAGACAATGGATGACGATGCATCGTTCTTTTACGCCAGATGGATTTCTCAACCGAAGAAAATCGTTGCGCATAAGTCCTTGGAGGTATACTTATAGTGGTGAATGGCACAGCGGTACATCTTATCCGGGGAGAGGATGTTTGGAGAGGTACGAATCTGCAGACCATCTGTGACAATAGTTCAGCATCCATGTTTAAATAATTAAAAGAATATTTTGCCTTATACAAGGTGATTGTAAAAGGCTATTAATTAGTAAAGCTTGTATAATAATAATTCTCTTTGTTTGTTTTACAAATGCATTAAATCGATGATCAAGATGGTTATATAATATAAAGATATTCCATCATGAGTATTTTATTGTGCAATTGCGTTTTATCTCACATCAAGTTTTTTTTTTAAATATAATAATATATATAATAAAATATTTAAATATATAATTAATTTGTACATAATAATTAAGATAGTTTTTTGCACATAAGATATAATCTTTGTTTTGGAAGCGCTTGATGCGGATAAGATTAAGTAAGATAACGCACTCTTGTAATTAAAAAGACCAGTAACACTTGTATAATGATTAAAGTGCTAGTCATGACGTAAGCGACTATGACGATTCTGAGAAGAATGGGGCTGATAACTTCCGCGCAGCCGTTCACGTTTATCGTTTTGTCATCTGTCATCTGCATGTGCATACAGGGTGCTACAACGTGCAAATTACAGCAGCTAAAAGGAACTCCAAGATCTCTATAATCCTCGTCCGAGATTCTGTTTTGTCCTGCCATTTCTTCCCGAGACGCATAATCCACTTTCTTTTATCCAAAATAATATCATTTAAATATCATATTATATATTACAAATTAAAATTATAAAT